TGCCTTAAGTGGGTTAAGGCTCAGGTCATGATCTCAGGGTCCTGGGATCGAGCCCCGCATCAGGCTCTCTGCTCTCTGCTTACTCCTCTCTCTCTGCCTGCCTGTGATCTCTGTCAAGTAAATAAATAAAATCTTTTTAAAAAATTATATATTAATACAGAAAACAAAAACAAAAATGCTATAAGGAACAATAAGCATTTGCCACACAGGATGTTGACTGGCCCGTCCCCTCCCTTCCTGCTGTTAGGCACACTGAGGGGAAGCATTCTGGGACTGAATATAACGGTAGAAATCCATCGAATAGCAACAACCTGAGAAGGTAAGTCCTGTAGGGCCATCTTTCATCCTCAGAATCAAAGAAAGAAGCTGCCCTCTGTTGTGCAAATGGAAGGAAAGTGTCAGGGCAAGTGGTGGCCCCCATGTGTGGAAAGAAGTGCAGAGGGGTCTCTGAGGAAGAGGACAGCAGCTCCCATACAGGAGATGGTGACTAAATGGAATACACTGGGGTAGGGAGGATATGAAGAAGGTAGGGCCCAGCTCTGAAAAGTCTCAGAAGAATAGGGCACAGTTTAGGCTTAGAAAAGAGAAGGCCCTGGATCTATGGAACAATAATGGGAATTAATAGCTGAAGAATGAACCAGTTTATAATATGGGGGCTGAGAAAATATGCCTGCATGGAGAAATGTGGTGCGCCCGTCAGTGAGGCTGTGTCCCCGCCCCACTCTGGAAAGTACAACTGACTGGATTCCAGGCTGCCAGAGGCACGGGGTGAGGACCTCCTGGGCAGGGTGGTTCACACACTCAAACTACATACAGTTGGTGTCAGGCTGAGTGACCTCAATCTCCAGACACTCCAATGATGGAAAGAGTTGCTTTTGGTAGTCCCAGAGCCATAGAAGAGATCTTGCTTGGAATCTCTAAAGAAATCATCTCTCAGCATTAATCACAGCCTAATGTAAATTTCTTGGTGAGATTTTCCTATGACAAATGAATACCTTTCTGTATTTCCTTAACTGTTCGTGGAAAAAGGATTTGCTATCCACATGTCTTACTAATAAATCTTCAGGTGCTTGAGTGAAACATTTAAAATACGGTTTCTTTGTAAATAAAAGTATGAAGCACTTTAAATTATATGTCTAAGAAGTCAATATTCTTGAGCTCTTTGGAGTAAAATGGAGAAACTGTGTTTACTTAAAGGATACAGAATCATGGAGATTGAACATCAGAAATAGGTTGTGGAAATAAAATCTCATTTTCTGTTCCATGTTATTAACCTGTCTCTCATTCCACCTTTCATTCTTTGAAACTGGAAAATGTGAGCTCCTAGTCATTGCACAAATCTATCTGAATTATCCAACCACCAGAAAAATGTCCCATCGCCTCTCCCGTTTGTCATTGGCTTTATAGGGCTGCAAGTGCTTTGCCGCTGTCCTTGTGTTTCTATTTACTACTGAGAAATGTTACTGGTACTGAGATGATTCTGAGCTCTGTACCACCTCTCTGTTTCAACAGCTTCTCTCCTGGCTCTTTGAAATTACTGACTTGCTCTGTCTCATTAGTATATACCAGCTTTTTAAAATAGCAACTGGCATATGGAACACCTTAAAAATATTGTTAATTATTCTGCATGTCCTAAAGTGTTCATATTTATAGTCTCTCTGCTTTTATATATCTGATTTCTCTGTAATCAGAATTCTTCATCATCTTACAGAAACCCCAAACATCTGTATCTGTGTGACAGCTAAGGTCTGTCCAACAAGATTTTGACTTACTCTACAAAATGAGCGTTAAAGAACCACTATCCCAGTACCTGACCGTAGCAATTTCTCAACAAGCATAGTTTATACACAGATCCTACACATAAAGCCCAATCTTCTTGGCTGTAAAGCCAGACTACTACAGTCCACGGTGGAGCCACCTGTTCAATCCTGTAAAATGTTTTACCTGCTTTTCACAGAATACTCCCTTGAAGAATCATGTCTTAACTCTAGCCTCAGACTTCAACAAATGGATATTTTATTTTTTTTAAGATTTTATTTATTTGACAGAGAGAGAGAGAGACAGTGAGAGCAGGAACACAAGCAGGGGGAGTGGGAGAGGGAAAGCAGGCTTCCCACCGAGCAGGGAACCCAACACCAGGTTCAATCCCAGGACCCTGGGATCATGACTTGAGCCGAAGGCAGACGCTTAATGACTGAACCATCCAGGCACCCCAACAAATGAATATTTTTAAAAGGCATGAAATCACTAGGACTCCATCAAAATAAAAGCTTCTGCACAACAAAGGAAACAGTCAACAAAACTAAAAGATGACCTACTAAATGGGAGAAGATACTTGCAAATCCCATCTCTGATAAAGGGTTAGTATCCAAAATACATCAAGAACTTATACAACTCTATACCAAAAAACAACCCAATTAAAAAAACGAGTAGAAGATATGAACAGACATCCAGATGGCCAAAAGAAACATGAAAAGATGCTCAACATCACTCATGATCAGGGAAATGCAAATCAAAACCTCAATGAGATATCACCTGATACCTGTCTGAATGGCTAAAATTAAAAACACAAGTTTTAACAAGGATGTGAAGAAAAAGGAACCCCTCGCACTGTTGGTGGGAATGCAAATTGTTGTAGCCACTGTGAAGAACAGTATGGAGATTCCTCAAAACATTAAAAATAGAACTACCCTATGATCCAGTAATCACACTACTGGGTATTTACCTAAAGAATATAAAAACATTAATTCAAAGGGATACATGTACCCCTATGTTTATTGCAGGATGATTTACAACAGCCATCTTATGGAAGCAAAGTGTCCATCAACTGATGGATAAAGAAGATGTGGTAGATGTGTAGATGGTGTAGGACCCTAATATATTTTGGAGGGCAAGCACGACCCCCTAAAACCCTGCCCCACAGCCACTTGGCCTCATCTTGGGGACAACAGAAGCATCACTAGGCCTATCTGCAGGGCCTATGTCCTCAGCACATCAGAGTGCTAGAGCAGAGGGGCCCCTGGGTGGCTCAGTCAGTTGTCTGCCTTTGGCTCAGGTCATGATCCCATGTCATCAGGCTCCCTGCTCGGTGGGGGGCCTGCTTCTCCCACTCCCTCTGTCTACACTCCCCCTGCTTGTGCTTTATCTCTTTCAAATAAATAAATAAAATCTTTAAAAAAAAAAAGTGGTAGAGCAGAAAGCCTACCAGAGAGAGGAGAAGGGGCAGGCACTTTAATGCTCTATACCTTCTCCTAAATTCTCCAAAGATATAAGTCACTCTGTCTCCATCAGGGAGGAAGGACTAAGGGAGCAGAGAGGCCAAACATTTTCCCTTTTAGCAGAATCTAAAGTGTGAAGCATCAGTGTGTCATTTCTCAGCACTGTGTACTGCCTTATATAGCACAATGACAAAATTAGCTCCTAATGAAATGTTATCCTGTCCCTGAACCCTGGAAATGTATTCACTAGTTCCTGAATTCCCCATGGGCTCTGGAAGCCATCTGCCACCCTGAAATTGATTCTTGCCCTTATGTGCATCTCTGAGAACCATTTTGTTCTCCCATGCCCAGAGCAGCTTCTAGGTAAGTATGACTCACTTTAAGTACTAGTGACAGCATAACAACTAAGTTTACTAGCTCCTGAACACAAAATGTCTTTCCATTTATGTATGTCTTCTTTAATTTCTTTCAGCCATGTTTAAATTTTTTAGTTTACAAATCTTCTTTTCCCTCATCTTTGTTTTTTGACAGTTTGATTGAATGTGTCTGAATATGGGTCTCTTTGAGTTATATATAAAGTTCATTGAGCTTCTTGGGTATTAATATTTATGTCTTTCATCAAATTTGAGGTTTAGGGCCATTATTTCTTCAGATAATCTCCCTGCCCTTTTCCCCATTCTCATGAGACCACAATACATATGTTGGTCTGCTTTATGGTACCCCACATGTCCAAAGGCTCTATTTACTTTTCTTCCACCTTTTTTCTTCCTGTTCCTTAACTCAGTCATTTCACTCATAAACTCAGTCATTTCACTCATATTTGCAAGTTTGCAGATTTTTCTAGCTCATATCTACTTTTGAATCCCTCTAGTAAATTTTTGCTTTCAGTTATACTTCTCAGCCCCAGAGTTTCTTTTCACTTCCTTATGTTACCTATCTCTTTATTGATATTCCCATATTATTAATACATCATTTTCTTGACTATGTCCTCATCTTCCTATAGTTCTTTGAGCATCTGTAAGATAGTTGTGGTCTCTGTGTAGCATGTCCACCTCTGGATTTCTTCAGGGATGATTTCTGTTGTTAAATTTCATTACTTTGAATTGGTCATAGTTCTTTTTTTCTTTATCTTAGGATTTTTTGTTAAAAACCTGACATTTATTTATTTAATATTTTATTTTTAAGTAATCTCTACATCCAATAAGGGGCTCAAACTCACAACCCTGATACTGAGAGTCACATGTTCTACTGACTGAGCCAGCCAAGTGCCCCAAAACTGAACATTTAAATCTTATACTGTGATAAACCTGGAAATCAGCTTTGCCACCTGCCCCAGGGTTTGCTGATTTTCTGGTTGCTACTGTATAGTATCCCTGTGCCTAGGACCAGAGAAACATAAACTTCTTAAGATCTTCCGAGGTCTTTTCTAAGGCTGCACTTTCCCTAGGTATACACTGTGACTTTCTAAATTCCCTGTCTCTGCAACTGCTTTTGAATGACCTAGTCCTTAAAATGTCTAGCTACCAACAAGGGAGAAAGGGGAAAGTGAATGGGTAAAGAAAAATAACTCTGAGTCTTTAAATCCCCTGGAACCCACTTTAGATGGTGGGGTTGGGACAATGAGTGTTCATCTCTGTGTCTACACCTCTGTATTCACAAGCTGCTCCAGGTACATATGCATGGCTGCCTACCTCGGCAGTGAGAATGGGGAATACACAGCCACTAATGTGCTAAAAGCTGAAATTGACCAAGATTAACCACAATTTACTGTCCAAGACTTACCCTGGAAGTTTCAAGTCTTTGAATAGTCTGCAGAGCTCTAAAGCGGCTACATCAGACAGACTGTGCTGGTATAATTATCTAGGTAGAGAGATGGATTCCCGGTTCTTCCTATTTCACCAACTTCCAGGATGTCATGCCACATTTGTACTCTTAAATTGTATAGTAATCACTTTTAAAAGCAAAAAGAAACATATAAAATCTTTAACAATATTTAACCCAGTGTATCAAAACTATGATCATTCAATTTAATCAACATAAAAATTTTTTTTACTATCTTCAAAAGTGTGTGTTTTATACTTAGAGGAAATATCAACTCAGATGGTAATTTCCAATGGTTAAAGTGAAGTGTTGTACTGCCGAAACAATAACATGCTTAAGAAAACAATATTTCACATTGTTTTTGTTTTACAGTTTAACCTCAGTCATAATTAAACAAAACATAAAGTCCCATTTCCCAAGTTGCGGTAGCCACATTTCACTTGCTCAGTAGCCCCATGTGGCAGTGGCAGCTCTAGACTCCCATCTCCAAAAAACCAAGATTTATAAGATGAAGTTTGGTTTGGTTTACCTTCTATCCTTTACTGAAGGCCCTTCTATTCCTTGCTTTCCCAGAATGCTCACTGGATTTGGTGAGACACTTACCCTGGCCGGCAGTCAAGTCATCTGCAGAAGGCTGGCAGGCTGCTGTCGCCCTCTTAAAGGCCACCACGCAGCATAGGAATGAGTGGCCGTATCTTCCAGGCATGAGTTTCCAGAAGGCATGAGAGATGCGCAAGTCATTTAGTACTTGTCTTCCATTCTAGAAGCAGCAGCACATTCACACTCAATCCAGGAAAAACCCACCAGTTCTGAAGAGAATCACAGGGCTGGCAGCAGCTTTGGCTTCATCTTACAAGCCCGAGGAAGTTCCGCTGTGTGTATGGGAATCACGCTGTGAACATCCATGTGGTGGATACCAGCTGCTTCAGGGAAAACTGCTCTTAATATTGCTGAATGAGTGTGACAAAAAGAACTTCAGCATTTTTCAATTTTTCGGGTTTTTAAAAAAATTTCAGATAACTAACACAGGATGGTGAATGTCAGCAAATGTGGGTTAAAACCATAAGAAGATACCATTTCACACACATCAAATTGGTTAAAAAAATTATCTCTGTCAATGTCAAGAGCTGGCAAGAATAGAAAGTAAAATGAACTCTCATCCAGAACTAGTGGGAATGTAAGTTATTTCAGCCACTTTGGAAAAACATGCCATTATCTGATCAAGCTGAAGGCACAGATCCCTCACCAGTATGTGCAGAAGTCCCCACTTATCCATGGGGGATATTTTCCAAGACCCCCACTGGATGCCTGAAACTGTGGACAGTACTAAATCCTATATATACTACGTTTTTCCCTACACATACATACCCATATAAAGTTTAAAATTAGGCACAGCAGATGAGCATCAATGAAAGAGAACAATTATAACAATATACTGTAATAGAAGATGTGAATCCAGTCTCTCATACTGTTTTCCTCCTATGCACACATGTCTATGATCAACTTTAATTTATAAATTAGGCAGATTACTAAGAGATTAACAGTAACTAGTAATAAAACAGAACATTTATTATAATACACTGTACTAAAAGTTTAGTGAATGTGGTCTCTCTCTCTCTTTCACAATATTTTTTATTATACTGTACTCACCCTTCCCCTTGTGATGCCGAGGTGTAAAATGCCTAGGTGAGGAGATGAAGTGAAGGGAATGACGTGGGTGCTGTGGTGTAGTGTTCGGCTACTACTGACATTCTGAAGATATACCAGGAGGATCATCGGCTTCTGGACCACAGCTGACCATGGGTAACTGAGACCATGGATAAGAGGAGACGATGTGAGGTGATGTAATAATAAATACACTTTTGTATCAACTCTTCTACTTGTTCACTTAATAGTATATGTAGTGCAGGAACGTGATGGATTAGAGAAAGATGCAATGGTCCCCACCTTTGAAGACTGCATGATCTAGCAGATTCGAAGAGCTTATATGCCTGCTGCTAACGTATCCTGACAATCACAACTGGCCTCTTTTATGCTAGCATGAAGTACTTCATTAGATTAGCAAAAAGGGTTGGGTAAGTGTATTGATGTGTAGCCTACAGAGGCGGGTATATAAAGAGTGGGACCAACCAGGTGGCAAACTGGATGACTAGTTTAGAGAGGAGAGGGTACAATTCTCAAAGAGCAGGATTTCAAATATATGCTTCACCCATTATATAGTTGTGCTGAAAATCAGCTCTAAATCTTAGGAATTATATGTCAAGTATATGGAAGATATCTTCTCATTTTGCCACTGGAAGAACTGACATTTTCTTGCTTACCCTGTTCAGAAGTACATGGTGGTATTTAGCCAGACTAATCAAGAAAAAAAAAGAGTAGTTAAAGAAATAAAATCCATTATGAAAGAGTAGTTACAAATGATACCACAGAAATATAAAAGATCATAAAACACCATGAACAGTTATATGCCATCAAATTGGACAACCGAGAAGAAATGGATAAATTTCTAGAAACATACAATCTTTTGAGACTGAATCAGGAAAAAACAGAAACCGGAAAAGACTGATTACTAGTAATAAAATTGAATCTATAATCTAAAAACTCCCAACAAACCAGTCTATGACCAGATGGTTTCAAGGTAAATTCTAGCAAACATTTAAAGAGTTAATACTTACTTTTCTCAAACTATTCCAAAAGACAGAAAAGGAAGGAATGCTTCCAAAATCATTCTATGAGGCCAGCATTACCTAGATAGGAAAACTAGACAAGGACACTATGAAAAAGAAAATTACAGACTAATATCCCTGATGAACATTGATGCAAAATTCCTTAAAATTTTAGCAACAGAGTTCAAAAATATATTAAAATGATCATTCACCATGACCAAATGGGACCTAATCCAGGGAAACAAGGATGGTTCAATATACATAAATTAACCCACAATTTATATACATAAATCAACCCATTATACCCCACTAACAAAATGAAGGATAAAAATCATACCAGCATCTCAAGAGATACAGAAAAAGCAGTTCACAAATGGTTTTTGTTAAGGTTTATCCCTTAACATGTGGAAAGCCCAAAGTGGGCCAAGCAACCCTCTTCCACTTATACCCACCTATACCAGATAGAATGGGATCCTCCTGAGCTGTCATGCAGGGGAAAGGGATAGAGGAGCCCTGGGGACCTTGACCACCTCCTCACTTAGCTCACAGATCACTAGCCTCAACACCCTCAGCACTAGGGGAAGTTTTCATGAGCTCTAACTCCCTGCCTTGTTTATGGAGTATCTTATCAATTTTCTACCCTAGTATAGTACCTATAAGGGCAGAGCAAAGTGACAATTATTGTCAGGAAATCTGAGGGGGTACAGCCTTAAGGGAGTCCCAACCAGTGCACACTTTCCTTAAAGTATTTTAAAACATCATGCATATTTGCACCCTGCTCCTTGTTACATCCACATTCATTTCCATATAAAAGTCTTTCCTGATATCAGGAAAATACTGCCTCTCAATTTTGAAATCCTACATCTTACAAAATTGAATGTTCAGTTCCCACTCAATATGCTAATTTTTAAAAATAGTAAAATGAGGGGCGCCTGGGTGGCTCAGTGGGTTAAAGCCTCTGCCTTCGGCTCGGGTCATGATCTCGGAGGCCTGGGATCAAGCCCCGAGTCGGGCTCTCTGCTCAGCAGGGGAGCCTGCTTCTCTCTTTGCCTGCCTCTCTGCCTACTTGAGGTCTCTATCTGTCAAATAAATAAATAAAATCTTTAAAAAATAAAAAAACAAAAATAGTAAAATGAACAGCAATATACCCACCACCTAGTTTTTAAAAAAATAGGATCTCTCCAGTACTTTTAATGCTTGTATGCTGCTCCCCAATTACATCCTATTGCCTTCCCCACAAACAGAACTACTGTTCTGAATTGTGTATAAACCATTTCCTTGCTTTTCCTTATAGGAATACTACATATGTACATATTCCTGAACAGCTTCTTGTTTGGAGTTTTTGACTTTTAAACAAATGAAATCATACTGCAGAGATGCCTTTGTGGTAAGCTTTTTATCCTGAGTTTTGTGCCATCCATGCTAGTAAGTGTCACAGTGGATTGTTCATTTTCACTGCTCTATGGACACACTGTAATAGGATTATCCTTTCTCCTGCTGAAGGGTGGCAGGGCTTCTCGTCTGCGGATTTTACGAAGTGCTGCTGTGAACACTCCTGCTCAAGTCTCCGGGTACACACACACATAAATACTTCTTGAAAGCAGTAGTTCCAAACTTGGACATGTATCAGAATCACAGGCAAGGTTTGCTCAAGCACATATTGCTGACCCCAGACCCAGACCCCAGACCCCCAGAGTCTCTGGTTCAGCAGGTCTGGGTGGCTAGAGAAGGTACATTTTAACAAGCTCCCAGGAGATGCTGATGCGGGATCACAGGGATGCAGGTCTGTGAGAACCACTCCCTAAAGCACAGGCCCATGGACAAGTTACTATATTGTAGGTTATGTATGTGTTCACATTTTATTAAGAAACACAAATTATATTTCCAAAGTTGTACCAATTTACACTGTTGCTAGCAATGGATGAGGCCTGGTTGCTCGAAATTCTTGTTGACACTCGAATATTGTCTAACTTTAAAATTTGTGCCCATTGGTTATGTGTAAAATGGTACCTCAATACAATTTTAATCTGCATTTCTCAAATTACTATAGAGGATAAATAGCTCATAAATGTTTTGCTCATTCCTTTTTTCTCCTTCTATGACCTGTTAATGTCTTTTTCTATTTTGCTAATAGGTTTTCAACCCTTTTTAACTAATTCATGGCTGGGAAGGGTGGATTTTTAAAACTGTTCTGGACACTAATTCATGTTGGCCGTCTGTGTGTAAATACCATTTTCCAGGCCGTGGTTTCTCTTCTCATAGTCTTTATGCTGTATGTTGAAAAGAAGTTCTTAATATTAATGTAACCAAATTAGTCAATATTTTCCTTTATGGTTTGTATTCTTTGTGTCTTTTTTTTTTTTAAGATTTTATTTATTTATTTGGAAAGACAGAGATAGTGAGACAACATAAGCTAAGAGAAGGAGAAGCAGGCTCCCCACTGAACAAGGAGCCTGACATGGGGGCTTTGATCTCAGGGTCCTGGAATCATGAGCTGAACCAAAGGCAGACACTTAACCAACTGATCCCCCCAGGCACCCCCTTTGTCTTATTAAGATCTCCTTACACTAAAATTTTAAAGCTACTTCCCCACATAGTAGTCTAAACATTTTATGTGGGGTTGTTTCCTGTTCTTTGTACTTACGTAAGAGTCTTTCATCTGCTAGGAATTAATTTTTGAGTAGGGTGTGATATAATAAGCATCCAATTTCATTTCTCTTCCCTCTTGGGATATAGGGAAAACGTTTTGTCCAAGCACTATTTATTGAATACCCCATCATTTCCTCCACTGATCTGCCTGTGTCTACCAGAATCTAAGTTTCCTTACATGTCTTGGGCTCTCTCTGTTTTTTTAAACTACAATACTCTTAATTATTATAGCATTATAATAAGTCTTAATATCTCATAAAGCAAACCCTCCTAATTTATTGTTCTTTTTCAAGAATAGTTTGGTTGTTTGTGGCCATTTATCTTCCATATACATTTCAGATTCAACAATTCTAGTTCCAACAAAACTCAAAAAAAAAAAAGAAAAAGAAAAAAGAAAAAAAAACCATTTGGGATTGTATTAGGAATAGTATAGGTAGGTCATTGTGGGGGAACCAACATCTTTGTGATACCAATTCCTTATATGCAAGAACAGTGGCATTTCTCCCAATTTATGCCTTTTGTTTCAATAAAGTTTTAATATTTTCTCCTTTAAGAAGTTTGCATATCTTGCCTGAACAGACATTTGTCCAAAGAAGACATCCAGATGGCCAAAAGACACATGAAAAGATGCCTAATATCACTCATCATCAGGGAAATGCAGATCAAAACTATCAGGATCTCTTCCCTCACACCTGTCAGAATGGCTAACAACAAAAACACAAGAAACACCAAGTGTCAGTGAGGATGTGGAGAAAAAGAAACACTCGTGCACTGCTGGTAGCATGCAAGCTGGTATAGTCACTTTGGAAAACAGTATGGAGTTTCCTCAAAAAGTTAAAAATAGAACTACACTATGTCCATAAATTGCACTACTGGGTATTTACCAAAAGCATACAAAAACACTAATTCAAAGAGATACATGCATCCCTGTTTATAGCCAGCATTATGGAAGCAACCCAAATCTCCATCAATTAATAAATGGATAAAGATGTGTGTGTGTACATATATATAATAGAGTATTAGTCAGCCATAAAAAAGAATGAGTCTTGCCATTTACAACAACATGAATGGATCTATAGAGTTTAATGCTACACGTAATGTCAGAGAAAGACTAGTATATGATTTCATTCATATGTGGAATTTAAGAAACAAAACAAATAAACAAAAAGTAAAAAAAAAAAAAGAGAGAGAGAGGAAACAATTGTGAAAGAGTCTTAACTACAGAGAACACACTGGTAGTTACCAGAGGGAAGGTGGTGGGGGGTGGGTGAAATAGGTGATAGGGACTAAGGAGTGCATTTGTCCCGGTGAGCACCAGGTGCTGTATGGAAGTGCTGAATCAGTGTATCGTACACCTGAAACTAATATTGCATCGGATGTTAACGAACTCGAATTAACATTTAAAAACTTAAAAAAAAAAAGTGAACACTCTAAATATATGTATATCTTTTGCCAAACTCAAGGCTAGGTAAATTTTTTGTTGTTATTGTAAATTGGTATTTAGGATTTCAGTTGCTTTGGCTATGGTTTTTCAGAAAATCTAGTATGTCATTTTCTCAAGCTTTATTTCATCTAAATGATTTTATCACATGCAATGAAAACAACAAAAGATCTCTACCATGTCTGATAGGATTCAAATTTGAAAACATTATCTCCTAAATCAGCTCCATACTCTACTGAAAATTTATTTTCTGAGAATCAGCCCAACATAGCTTTTGTCACTTCTCTCCATCACAACACAGGGGGATAAAGAGTTAAGTGAGCAGATGGGAGATAGAGACATTCATCATCTCTATTTAACATAGATTTATTAAAAACTAGGCTAAGAAAATAAAATCTTAAAAAAGGTTATTTTTTAAAAAGGCACGCCTGAGTGGCTCAGTGGGTTAAGCCTCTGCCTTCGGCTCGGGTCATGACCTCAGGGTCCTGGGACTGAGTGCCACATCAGGCTCTCTGCTTAGTGGGAGTCTGCTTCCCCCTCCCCCTGCCTGCCTCTCTGCCTACTTGTGATCTCTCTCTCTCTCTCTCTGTTAAATAAATAAAATCTTAAAAAAAAATAAACTAGGCTAGGAGACTAAAATGGCAAAATATTGGCAAGGGGTGAACCTGCATAATGGATTTACAGGATTTCTTTGTACTGTTCTTGCAACTTTCTAAGTTTGAAATAATTTCTAAATAAAATATTAAATAGAAAATGTAAGGAATAACAAAAATCATGAACATGCCCATACTAGAGTTATTGCCACACCTCCTGCAAAAGGATTCTTTCCTGATCAAGACTCTCTCCTAAGAGGGCAATCCGTGGACATTCATGAACATTTCTCAGCTGTAGTTGAAGGGA